AAACACACTGGGGGCGGGGACTCACGTGAATAAAAACACACTGGGGGCGGGGACTCACATGAATAAAAACACACTGGGGGCGGGGACTGATGAATATGAACTTATATGAGGTTGAGGTAGGCTCACCCTCACTGTGGGATATGTCTTCTTGTTCTTCTCACTGGAAGCCCCTGGCAGACCCCCATGGGATGGTCCCTCACACTCGTACCGAAATCGGAATCCCCTCTGCACACACGAGTTTCGCGTCATAAGTAAAGCAGGGCCGCGAACTCCTCAGACGCTAAAGTTGTTAGCACTTAGAGCAATCACTTATTTGTCCTTCTGTGCTTCTAAAAACACACTCATGACAATCTCCGGCATTTCACAGCTATTGTATCTCAACATTTCGGTTTGTCCGGTGTGTCCTGGGGTGACCCGATGTGGCCACGGGGATATTACGGGAGCACACACCTGCTTGGGCTCCTCGATGATCTGCAGGTACGGTCCATGGGCTGCAACGAACAGGCAGTTGATCGTCATTATCTGCGGTGCATCGCCTAGCCTGCTCCAGTGAACCTCATAATTCACAGACATGTAATGTAGGGTTAGTTACCTGTCTGCAGAAAGGGCTCGACCGTCATACTGGCTGGAGACATGGGCTGGTACGTCAAGTCAGGCATGTTGGTCATCAGGATCTGCAGGAGACAACAGCTTTACGATTATAAAGAGTTTCACCAATCTGTGACCATTTCATAGGCAGTCCCAGGGAAAAACAGGGTTAGGGTTAATAAATCCATCCATCCACAATCCATCCATCCATCAAGCATAGCTTATCAGCTTAGCTATAGTTTATCAAACAGTTAAGACAAGTGAAGACAACTATATATTGTTTTACAGAAATAGCAATAAGACAGTGGTTAGATAGAAAACATGCTGAATATAAGCAATTTAAATCATTTAAAGTTGAGGGGAGGGGATGTGTTCTTTCCGGTCTCCGAAGGATCCTGCGTGACATTAACCCCGGAATATTCCATCAGCCTAGCTGTTCGGTACATTTTCATTTTCACTTTCTCTTTTCATGTCTTCATATAAATTACACAAAAAAAAAACAAATGAAACCGCCCCCCTCCCCGTCCTCCCAGTCTTACCTCATTGTCCATCACATTTAAGTTAAATGACAGTCCGTCCATGTTGGGAGAGGAAAAGGTTGAGTTAGCGCATCACGTCTTCTCAGTGCGGGTATAAGCGCCAGGTCCTGCAGCTGCTGCTCGGAAAGCCTGTCCGCACACACACGGACCGCTGCAGGTTCCTCTCTCAGCAGTCAAGCTCCCGGCTGCCGGCAGATTAAAAGCTTCCTCACAGCTGGGTGTGTTAGATGCGTCCGAGTGCGGCCGCAGCGGTTACGTCAGCCACTCCTCCCGGAGCTTCCGGTCACACGTCCCGACCCCCGGCCTGTCGCTAACTGCTCGTCACGGATCCCAAAGCCATCTGCGGGACGGAGACGGAGCGGCACGGCGTTAAGGTGGAGGAGCCCCCCCAGAGGCGCAGGGGCGGAGCTTTCGCTGAGCGCTGCTCGTTATAATGCGGCACTTTCCAGGAAGCGGGCCAAAGGAGGAAGCCAGAGAGGAAAGTCCCAAGAATACCAGCCACTCTGATGAGCACGCGCGTGCACGCGCGCCGGCATACAGGCACTCACACATAAGCGCGTGCAAGTCCCAGCAAGTACACACAGGCAGGCATTCGCAGCAGAGTGAGCACAGGTACACATGCAGACAAAGATCGCACACAAAGAGATGTGAAGACAGGAACTCACACAGCCAGCTCTCCTCTACATGCCATGTGGCCTGTATCCTGGATGCCCTGCCCAGTCTCCCCCTGCTCCAGAAATCGCTGCACATCCCTCACTACAGTGACACCCCCCTATATAGAGAGAGAGGGGACAGCAGTAATGGTGCAAACCAGAGCGTCGGGCTGGTTCATTACCGAGTAGTGGGTCCCTCATACTTTCATATCCATTCATTCTTTGGAGTCTCCAAAGTACCGATTCCAGCTCTGGATTACAAAATTACAAAACGGATTGAACAGATTCTGTGCTCCAGGCTCCATCTGCAGGCTTTTAGTTTATGAGCTTGTAGTCACCTGCTGAGGCCCTGTGTGCTCGATCTGATTGGTCACCTGGGTCCGGAGGCCTCCTACCGTTACAGCGGTCAGCAGCTCACGGTCACCGGCTGCCCAGCGAGCCTGATGGGCCGTTCATGAGGAGCAAAGGCATGTGGCCGGACGGAAACACGACCTTCAGAAACACGCTG